TCTCTCTCTTTTGACAGGGTCCCCCTATAGCCCCAGCCCCAGCTGGCCTGGAACTTGATATGTAGACCAGGCTGGCCTCGAACTCACAGAGATTCACCTGCCTCTACCTCCCAAATGCTGGGATTAAAGTCATGCACCACCACACTGGCTAGCTTTACCTCTTAAACCCATTTTTGCCTATATCTTAAAGTCTTTTCGTTCCCCAATTTGAATGCTGCTCGTCTAGTAAACGTGTCAAAAGAGGGACTGAAAGTGAGTGCCAGGTGTGGCAGGACGCCTATTCAAACAGGAATCGAGGATCATCACATCTTGGAGAAGGTAGCTCTTGAGTTCAGCCTTGAATGAGTCTGCAAGGTGATCTTCTAGTGGTTCCTGTTCATTAAGCAGAGGCACTATGAACAAGTAACCCATAACAGAAAGCAGTGCCTAATGCTTATGAAGATCTGGACCACACAGCTGTTGGGGAGTATGTTTTTTATAGAATCAGCACATGTATTTGCTGCATAGGCAAAGTACTTTGAAGTTAGAAAAGTCCTAGAATCAGCACAGGTATTTGCTGCATAGGCACAGTACTTTGAAGTTAGAAAAGTTCTAGAGATCATTTAAACAGGTGCTTCTCTGGGCTCTCTACTATGGTCCCTAGAGTCCACTGCAGAATGGACTTCTGGGATTTCCAGGCAAAATATGGGCAGAAGTGACCCATGGGGCTTCAGTTTGAAAGATTCTATTTGTTTGGTTGGTTTATGTTTGTTTTTTGAGACAGGATCTCCCTGTAACCACAGCTGGCCTGGAACTCACTATGTTGACCAGGCTGGCCTCCATCTCACAGAGATCCACCTACCACTGCCTCCTGAGTGCAGGGATTAAAGGCATGCACCACCATGCCTGACAGTTCAAGGATTTGTACTTCGGCTTGGGACATCAATTGAATGGATCGGACTGCATGTCACTGAGTCACAGGCCCCTTGGGCTCGCATCATTTTTTTTGCATGTGTTGGTTTGTGTAGTGTGTACATACGTGTGGGCACAATGTGTGCGTGAGGGTGCATGTGCACAGGTGTTTGTCTATGTGTGAAGGCCTAAGGCCGATGTCAGGCATCTTTCTGGATTGCTCTCCACTTTATCCATTAAGGGAAGATGTCTCAGTTGAACCCAGAACTTGCTGATAATGGCTGATTTAGCTAGCTAGCCTGCTTCTGCTGCAGTAATTACAAGCAGATCACTACTCCCAACACTTACATGGGTGCTAGGAATCTGATCTCTGGTCCTTACCCTTGTGTGACAAGCACTTTACCCACTAACCCATCTCTTCAGACCTATCATCATTTTTTTTTCACTCTTCTTCCTTAGCTTCAGGTTGTATAATTTCTATTGATCTGCCTTCACGTTTATGAAGCCTTTTTTCTGTCATGACCAACACGGAAGAATTCTTATTTAAGAATTTTTTTTTCTTTTGTGTGCATGAGTGTGTGTGTATATTTGCATGTGTGCAGAAGCCAGAGATCAACCTCAGGTGGTGTTCCTCCTCAGGGGATGTCCATCTTGTTTTTTTAAGATAGGGCTTCTCACTGGCCTGAAGCTCACTGATTAGGCTAGGCTAATTGGCTAGTGAGCCCCAGGGATCTATCTATCTCTGCCTCCCAGTTCTGGGATTATAAGCACACACCCCCAAGCCTGGTTTTTTTGCCTTCATCCTGGGGATCAAACTTGAGTCCTTGTGTTTGCACAACAGGCACTTTCATCTGTGGCAATATAATGTTTCTTTCCACTGGATACTTTTTCCTCTGGTTTATGTCTCATGTTTTCCTAGTTCATCTGTCTAGTAATTTTCACTTGCGTGCTGGACATTGCAGTTCTGTAGCCAGTGGGCGATTTTCCTTTAAGAGGTGTGTTTTGTCCTGGCTGGCTGTCAAATCATTGGTGAACCCCTTTGATGCAGGTTTGGTTTTATTCTTTGTTTCAGCAAATCTATTTCAGCTTCGTTCTTAGTGTTAAACATGAAAATAACAACAGTGTGCTCCTGCCACTCCTGTGTGTGCTTAATCTCCACCAATACCTTCTTTCCTTTGTGTTTTCTATTTAGGAACTGCTCCCCAAAGCTGTTTCTTCAAGGAAGACCCAAGACTTGCAGGAGGACACAGAGCGGCTTGAGGAGGAGGCCTTGAGGCAGAACTCTCCTCCAGGTATCTCCAGTGTGACTCTAGAAGCACCTCAACGGGCTCTTTCCTCATGAGAAAGTAGCCTGAAAAAGGAGCTCTCACCTCAACTAAGACCCAAGAGGCTGCCAAGGAGGTGTCTGCACATGCTCTGGTCTGCTAGCTGTAAACCCCTTTAATCATGTGAAATTTGAGCTAGCTATAGGATAAAATGAACTCAGAATAAGAATTAAATAAAATAAGTCACCAAACTGATGAGGTCTTTTCCTCCTGAGATTATGTGGTGAAAACACCCCAGTCATGTGCTAGTCTTAACTTTAGACCTAACACTTTGTAGTCAGGTCCCTGGGAACCCTTACATGTGTCCTGGAGGCTACCCATGTCACTAAATAACAGGTGTTTTTCTTCTTTGTATATCAATATTTAACAAATATTTTCCCTTTTTAAAGCTGAACTAAAATACATGTCATAAAAGTTACTATCTTGGCTGGGTATGGTGGCACACACCTTTGGTCCCAGCACTCAGGAGACAGAGGCAGGCGGATCTCTGTAAGTTCAAGGCCAGCCTGATCTATATAGTGAGTTCCAGGCCAGCTGGGGCTACAGGGAGAACCTGTATCAAAAAAGAAAAAAAAAAGTTACTATCTTAACCAGCTTTGAGTGTACATTTCAATAGCATCACTACATTTGTATTGCTGTGCAACCACTCCTACCAATCCATGCCCAAATGCTTCTCACTCCTCACAGCTGAAACTCTATCCCATTATACTAATTCTATGTTTCCCTTTCCCAGCCCCTAGTGTTATGAAGTTTGGAACCACTGGGAAGGACCACCAGACTCAAGCAAACTGGAATTAACAAAATTTTTTATTGAAGCTACATAGCTGACCACAGTCTCCAAGGGTGGGTGCGGAGTCTGTGGTGGGTTTCTAAGCAGGGGAGGAAATCTTTAAAGATGAAAACCACACTGCTTCATTCTTGTGGAATGTGCAGCTGCCAGGGGAGAGATTACACTTCCCTCAGGGCCTAGTGATGAGCTTGTATACAGAAGCCAAACAAGTTAATCATCTCATGACAGTCACAAGACAGAGGGCATTTCATGGGGTTGTTGGAACTAAGTTCAACCTTGGGTCACTATCCTGGTAGTCTAGTGGCTAGGATTTGGTACTTTCATGTAGCATACTTTGTTGTCAAAGTTCATCCACACTGTAACATGGGTCAGAATTTCCTTTCCTCTTAAGACTGATGAATATTCTTCCCTGATACAGGCCACATAGAATGCCAGTGTTTCTGCATTTAGTAACCACACTGGTGCCTCATGGATGTAAGAAATATAGAGGAAAACTAAAGGGCGTTTGGTTGATGATCAGGTGAATATACTGGAGGCCTAGGAAATCCAAGATAGCTGTCAGGTTTCTAGATTGGGTCCCATGAGTGGATGGGGTGGCTCTTCCTACAATGAAGGACAGAAGAAGAGGAAAGAAGAGGAGAAGTAGGAAGCGGAAGAGGAGGAGGAAAAGGAGGTGGAGGAGGAGAAGGAGGTGGAGGAGGAGAAGGAGGTGGAGGAGGAGAAGGAGATGGAGGAGAAGGAGGTGGAGGGGGAGGAGGAGGGGGGAGGAGGAAGAAAAGGGAGGTGGAGGCGGGGAGGAGGAGGAGGAGGAGGAGGAGGAGGAGAAGGTCGTCCATAGTACACAGGCATGCTGCATATGAAGTACCTGTGAAAGGGACAGGCACGCCACAAAGGAGAACGTCCCTGAGACACTATTTGTACCCCAATCCCAAGCCAAAGACCCTAACCCTGGCTTTTCTGTAAGATCCCAGAGCAGGGTAGAATTCACTATTCATTTGAAGAGCCCTCAAGGGGTACATGTAGAGGTTAGAGGACAACTTGCAGAAGTCAGTTTCTCTCCCTACCATGTGAATTCTGGGAATGGAAATCATGTTATCAGGTTTGCTGGGGAAGCACTTTTACCTGCTGAGCCATCTCTCTGGTCCATTCTTAGCTGTTTTTTAAAGTTTGTTTTAAAATGGTGCTGCTAAACATAACTTGGAATTATCTAACAATATTTTGATCTAAGTGTAAATGATTTCTGTAAACAACTATAACTCCTATGTGTACACTTTATTTTAAAGTAATTATTTCCTGGGACTATAATTTTATATAGTTCTTATTCTAAAACATGATACAGAAAAGTATGATGATGTTATATTAGAAAAAATACTAAAATATGCCTTTTAGTTTTATCATTAATGCTAATTGAAATCAAACAGAGTAAAATGATACTTCTTGGTGGTAGCCCAAAGTCATCTTGAAGTTAAAATACTCTTACAAATATTTCTTAAAATGAGTTTCAAGCTTTGCCTCCCATAAGGCTCCCTATGGGAAAGGCATTCACTGCCCAGCAGGTGTGTCCAACCTCTACCACCAAGAGCCAGGACCACTTTGGTTAACACAGGACTTAGAACAGGCCCTCTATCTTAATATAGAAGACCAGATGAATTCACTTCCTATTGTCATATAACAAATTACCACCATCTAGCACTTAAAACTGTACCCATGTGTAGTCTTGAAGCTTCTTACGTCATAGGACCTCAGGCTGAAATCCTGGTGTTGTCCATGACCACCATCTTATAAGAGGCTTAAGCATCCCCTTTGTTCTAGTTTACTTTCTGTTGCTATGTAAAACACTGACCAAAACCTACTTGGAGAAGAAAAGATTTAGTTTGTCTTATAGCATACAGTCCATCATCAAGGGAAGCCAAGGAACTCAAGGAAGAAATGTGGAGGTAGGAATTGAAGCAGAGATCTTGGAGGAATGCTACTTAGTGGTTTGCTTCCACTGGCTTGCTCAGTTACCTTTCTTATACAGCTCAGGCCCACATGCCTGGGGATGGCACTGCCCACAGTGGTCTGGACCCTCCTACATCAATTAGCAATCAAGAAAATGTCCCAAAGACAGACCCACAGACCAGTTTGGTGAAGGTAATTCCTCAGTTGAGGTTCCTCTTCCCAGGTGACTCTAGTTTGTGTCAAGTTGGCAAAAAAACTAATTAGCACACCCTTCTAGCTCCATGGTTGTTGCACTTGTGGGACTAAGATCACCTTTTTCTAGTTAGTAGAGAGTCCATCTCAGCATCCTGAGGTAATCTACCATTCCCCACTGTGAGTTATCTCTACAGCATGCTGTTTGCTCTCTCAAGTCCAGCAGGAGAATTTCTGCAGTTTCTTATCTCTCTGGCTCTTTTTAAGGGCTCACTGGATAATAATCAGGCTCACTCATGGTAGTTCCCTTTTATTACTTTTCTTTTTCTGTTTGTTGTTGTTGCTGATTTGTTGGTTTTGTTTGTTTGTTTGTTTGTTTGTTTGTTTTTTGATAGGCTCTCATGTAGCCCAGGCTGGATTTGATCTCACTGTATAGCCAAAGAGGATCTTGAATTTCTGATCATTTTGCCTTCACCTCCTTGATTTCTTGGATTATAGGCATGCACCACCACACCCAGCTTAATGTGGTGCTGGGGATCAAAGCCAGGCCTTGTGCATGCTAGGCAAGCACTTTACCAATTGAGCTACATCTCTAGCCCAACAATTTTCCTTTTAATGAACTTAAAGTCAATTTGATTATAGCTCATTCATAGCCATGATCCCCATGCTGTTCGCCAGCTCTGCACACACATTAAACACAGATAAATACCAGGGAACAAGATCCTCAAGACCATCTCAGAATTCTGCGTGGAAGAAAGAGCTTTTCAGAAAGCTGTGACAAAGGAAGAGTGTGACAGGAGTCAATAAAGATCATGCACTGGAGGAAGCCCACCCAGCAATAGTGAGAGAAGACTCTGTGAGCTGAAAGACAATGGAGAAGGGAGAGAGCCTATGGGAGGAGATCACCCACAGAATGGAGCAAATAGAGATATACCCTGGGGGGAACTGGTAGTTCACTCAGTGCAGGGCTGTTTGGGAGGCAATAGGAAATGGGAAAAGGAGAGCCCAGTCAGAGGACAGAGAAGCAACATTCCCAATGAACTGCGGAACATTTTCCCCTGAGAAATATTGCCAGCATACAGGCTTTTAGAATCAATACTAACTTTTCTAACCTATATATTTTTTTAATGAGTGTTTTGCCTGCATGTATCCTACCTGTGTGAAATACCCATTGAGGCCAGAAGAGGGTGTCAGATCCCCTGGAACTGGAGTTACTGGTAGTTGTTAGTTGCCGTGTGGGTCTTGGGAACTGAACCCAGGTCCTGTGCAAGAGCAGCCAGTGCTCTTGACCACTGAGCCATCTCTCCAGCCCTTATACAACTTCTTTTTAATTAGGTGACAAAATTGACATACCATCTTTAGATTCTCATGTAGTAAAAGCTGAGAGATCATAACTCAACCTCATCATTTTGTAATATCACCAAAGATCTCTCAGCTGGAATGTGCTACCCCTATTCTGCTCCCTTGGGACAAGGTCTGAGTTATACCAAATGGCATGCAAGGACCTTTTTAAAAGTTTCTTAGACTATATTAAGTATGCACACAATGGGTTTCATGATGACATTTCATACATGTGGATGATGTATTTTGATCATATTCACCTCTTGTTATCCTCTCTTGTCCGCCTCCGACTCCTGCTGATTTCCTTCCTCTTGTCAAGTAGTTGCCTTCTACTTTCTGTAAAAAATGTGGTGGTGCATGCCTTTAATCCCAGTGCTTGGGAGACAGAAGCAGGCAGATTTCTGTGAGACTGAGGCCAGCCTGGTCTACATATCAAAGTCCAGGGTATTCTCAATTTTATAGATACAGTGCAATTAAATCAAAATTGTAGCAAATTATTTCATGCATATCAGTCAAGTGATTCTGAGGTGTACACGGAGAGGCAAATGTCCTCAAAGCACCCTGTACAATACTAAAGAAATGACTGGAAGCAAAAATTACCCACCTTTAAGTCTTACAGTAAATCGACAGCAATCAAGATGATAGAATATTGATGACAGAATAGAGAAGTCAATCATTGGAGCATAGTAAGGAGCCCAGAAAAACCACATAAACACAGTCAGTTGACTTTTGACAAAAGAGCAGCAGCAGTCCAATGCAGCAAAGAGGTTTTTCAACAAAAAATGATGGACCAACCGGACATGCATATGCATAAAAATGAATGGAATGCTTAAAAAAAATTAGCTCACATGAACTGTAGACCTAAATATAAAACTAAAAACTAGCCAGGCATGGTGACTTAGGACTATAATCGCAGC